TCCCTCTAAACAGAGACACTTAAATACCTGTCTCTTATACACATCTAGATGTGTATAAGAGACAGGTGTTTATGTATAAGCCTATTTAATAACGATAATGTTAGTGGCAATGTTAGCCATTTTAATGGAAAGAAAAGTTGATGACTAGCTACCAAGAAAGGTTTTATTAAGAATAAATAAAGCATGCAGTAACCGTACCTTTATGTTGAAACATTTAGGCCTAATGTATTTTTTTTTAAATTTCCATCTAAATATAAAAATTTAAAGACACATTTAGTGCCCAGTAGTCCCGGAATAGAGCCTCCTGGAAATCGGTAGGCAACTCTTCCACTTCAGCCCTCGAGCAAGGAAAAACTTACCGCAAACATCATATCCCGCAAATTCATGATAATATTTGCATGCTTTTACAAGTTTTTACTACTGTATTATCAATTGTCTCCCACCATAATGGTTATCACCATGCGCAGCAAAGTATAAAACAGATCTCCAAGATGTAATAATAATAACAAGATGTGGATTCTTCCAACTTGTGGATTGCCGGTCTTTAATTATAGGGATTCCTTTAGACATCAAATACCATGGTTTTGGCAGATCAAACTGAAAATGCTTTACTTTTTTAAAAATATATAGTGGCTTTAGTGGCGTGTTTTTTACAGACAACAGAATAATATACATCAAAAGCCGATGTTTTGTGTATACAGTGCTCCATATTGAATTCCAATATTGTTAGTACGACGTTTTATTTAACTATATACATTACATTGTGATTTTACACATTCATACTCTTATTTGTGTGTATAAAAATAGATCTCATACTATTTTTTATACATTTAAAACATTTCTTTTATATACCTAAACAGGGTAGCCATAAATTTTTGAAATCTTCAACATCAAATTTGAACACAATTTTTTACATATTTTTAGTCAATAATTTTTTTTATATAAACTATTTACATTGTTATTTACACGTTTTACACTCTTATTTAAAACATTTCTTTATCATGGTTTTGGAAGACCCAACTAAAATGTTCCTATTAATTAATACATACGGTACATTAAATATATAGTGATTTTAATGCAATTTTTAAAAATATATGATAATATGATGATAGATATACATCAAAATAATAGACAATATAAGATGATATGTTTTCGCTACAGTGCTGTAGATTGAATTATAGGACGGCGTTGTTGGTAATATTGTAATGGTGATTTAGGTAGTACGAGCACAGGACTTAATGTGTGGCTACCAGGAAATGGTACATTAAGAATCAATAAAAGCATACAGTAAGTGTTCATCCATTCTAAAAATAATGCACTTAAAATAATCTAAAATTTGCCATTATTATTTCTTAATTTCCCTCTAAACAGAGACACTTAAATACCACTTCTCGGAGCCGATCTTTATATTAGAGGGATTCTAATTAGAGACCAGAGCTGTTAAAGACCACCAAAACCTAGTCCCGAAGGTGGTCTTTAATTGGGAGATCTGTATTAGTATTATCAGTTTTCACAGCGCTATAGTTTACTCTGTGAAGAATATCTTAAAAGTGTTGGCTTAAGCAGGGCACTCACTACGTCGTGCGACGGTCGTACTCGTGCGTTCTCTCTGATCGGTAGACGATACGACGCGGTCTGCTGATTGTCGGTGGCCTGAACGGATCGTCATTAAAAACAATCCGTTGCGCAGGTGCCGTCAAGTTGCGTTCTTCATAGAATCGCGTCTGCCGACTACCGTCGAGCGCAGTTAGTGCGGCAGCTGCAGCTACTAACCTAATTTCTGCTTCCATGACTTCCTGAATTTAAATGCATAGTGAATTTGGACTCTGGGCAGGGAGATTGGTCCTTCTTTTCTTTTCTTTTTTTTTAATGTGTTATCATTCAATTATTTTCATATGACGTTTTAGTCCACCTGCTCGGTTGTCTGAGCTGTAGGCCTAATTGTACTAACTGTATTGAGGTTTTATGTCTTTTCTTAAACTAAATACACTTCAAATAACATTAATAATTTATGCTTATAACAGTTTCAGTTCAATAGTTGTACTATTGGATAGTTTGATCTAATTGTCTGAAAGTATACAGTTCGCTCACAGCGCAACATGACACGAGCAATGTATTTACCAACCGTCTGCAAAATAACCAGTATATATTTATTCTTTTATTTGCTTAGACGGCATAATACTGTATGTAGTTTCCGTACTCTTGGCCGTTCGTGCTCTCCACGACGTTAATACATTATTCTAATCACACACCGATTAATTGCAACGGTGAACAGGGATATAAAAACAGACAACGCGCAATTATGATCACTACATAACACGATGGCCTCTCGGCGACGAGAGAGCATGTTCACAAAGAGAGCAAATTCCCATGATTATGGTAAACATTCTAGTCAAACGGTACGTGTTGTCGTCATGGGCGCTGCGAAGGTGGGAAAATCGTCAATCATCTCTCGATTTCTTAACGGAAATTATGAAGAAACATATAAACCAACTGTTGAGGGATTCTTCTGTCGAGAGTTTAAGAGCATGGATAGTACTCGGTCAGTACGACTAGAAATAGTTGACACTTCAGGCTCGTTTTCTTTTCCTGCTATGCAAACGCTATACATCGCTTCGGCTGACGCGTTCATCCTGGTTTATTCTTTCATGGACTATGACTCGTTTAAAGAAGTGAAATCGTTGCGTCAACAACTCGTTAAGGAAAAAAATGACGAAAACTTTCCAATCGTAATTGTCGGAAACAAAGATGATCTAGAATTAACTGAGCGTGCATTCTCCAAGGCAGAGGCTGATTTGTCTCTCGATGTTTGCTCTGGTAACCATATAGTAGTTTCTACAAAACTGAATCAGAATATCAAAGATATATTCTATAAGACATTGAGAGAATGCAGGGTAGAAGTTGACGCGTTTGTGACATCGAAAGTGTCATCTCGAAGGCGAAGCCTGCCGGCTCTCTTCTCCGGTCGCATCTCAGAGAACAGTTCATCTTCGAGTTCTAGAAGGAATTCCTTAGTAATTGAGGAGTATCCCGAATATCCCGAGCGTTGTATTATATCATAGACTTCTGTGTATAAAACACTTCATTTCACTGTAAGCCTGATTGCTCTTCCTAACATTTCAAATATGTTAGCTCAACAAATTTTGCAAAAAAAAAAAAAAAAAAACACGGCGATGTTCAGATCATTTTTCAGCGTTAGACATCAGTGTAAATCGTCGAAAATATTTGATTGAACATGATTTTCGAAACTTCCAACAATTATAAAGATTTTCTGCCGTGTCCATAATATTGTGTTTAACGGAAGGATAATGATTCATCAAACGTCGACGTCCTCCACGTCAGAAAAACGTGGAATTAAACTACTACAGTGATGCACCACCGGCCCAGAAAACACAAAAGTTATACATTCGTGAACGTTGGGTGGGTTACGTCAGTAAATAAGGTTAACACAACGTTGTAGCAACGCTTGCGTATAGTTAATTTTAGTCAGAAACACACATACTCATGGTTCTACAAAAACCGTTTTGTTAGCTGGAAATAGTCTAGATAAATCTAGGCTTTTTAAACTAGGGAGATGTTCTTATTCGTGTCAACGTCCATGTTTCTGTGATTGGGAAGCAGGCGTCCTTACCAAGCTACACTTTACCGTGTTTGTATAAAACACTGTCTCCGCTCCAGTATATTGTAAATACATATTTATGGTTCTATGAAAATGTTTGAACACCAAAATGCTAAGTTACTTTAATGTGATATTATTACTGGTTTATAATTTGGTGTTAAAAAGTTCATTATTAGGGAGTTTTCGCGAGTTGCGCGAGCTTACGAAGATAACGAATACGGTAACTTCCATCACATTTTTAGGCACCCCTTCCCATACAATAGCATATCTGTGACAACGTAGGCGATTCATGTCTCTTGCATGGTCTTTCGCTCGTACAGCATATCGTCAAAAATGTTTTAGGCATGAATGCCGATGAAGATAATGACGTATTCGTAGGCCTATTCGTTATCGTATTCGTAAGGTTGCGAAATCTCCCTGCTAATACGGTTCAACATTAGGGAGTTTTCGCAAGCTCACGAAAACTATAACGAATGCTGTTACGTCATCAAATGTTTATACAACCCTTTTCCCTCCTGTCACAACTTCGGCGATTCATGCTTATTATGTGTGAATTAAGGGTCACATTCAGCTCGTACAGCATATTGTCAAGAATGTTTTAGGTATGAATGACGATACTGATACTGAAAAACGAACACTATTCTTATAATTTGAAAGTCTGGACAGTGCTTTATCAAACGTCTGGACCAAGTTCTAATTTGCGGCCCACAGGTAGTGATGACGTCGGATTGTGAAACAACACTTTAATCTATTGACTCTGATGCCAATATTTGTCACTTTAGTTTGACTTGCAATGACCACACAAGTATAATTAATAGTTACAATTAATTCTTTTAGGCCTAAATGAGAGGTTACGTAGTGAAATGCATGCTATTCTGATAAATTGGATCCTTGTTTATTTT